CAAGGTCAGCAGCTTTGCTTGACTAAGTGGAATGAGTAAGATAATAGGATTTTGACTGATGTGTGTGTTGTCCCAAGGGCTTAGAGATCATTGGTTTCTTGATGTTGTGAGTCATGACCGACAGTCAGTCATGCAGTGAACACTGATTTCAACCCCTGTAAATTATTTTGTTTTGTTTACAAGTCTTTTTCCTACTGGTTTCCCGAAAATAAGAAGCAAATGAATATGGTTAGAACCTACAGTTGGTAATTGCAAATCACACCTTATTGTTGTAAGGTCTGTAAGGTCAAAGAAGGGGAAGAAGGCTGCTCTACAGCTAAGCACAGTAACGGCAAGAATTATTACTAGTACAAGAACAATTACATTGATGCTGCATAGTTATAGACACACACAGGCCAAGAATTCCAACCTCTTACACATGTGCCCTGGTTATTATTTGCAATCAGCTGATCATGACCAAAGGTGTTAAAGCTGTAGGAAGGTCCATTCTACCTCGGATCAGACCCTTCTCAAAATAAATATCATGGAGGAAAAGTCCAGGAGAAGCTTTACATGTGCAAGTTCTCAAGTTCAATCCCTGGCATTTCCAAGGACTGGCTCCCAAGAAGCCTATCTGAGACCACAGACAATTGCTGCCAGTTGGGGTAGGCAATACTGGGATCAATAAACCAATGTTCTGACACTCAGTATCATCGAGTGATGAAAATAGGACACTAAATGACCTTACCTCCTATTGAGAATGATTGCCATCATATATGGAAGCTTCGGTTGGTGAGTCCATAATGTGACAAAAATGGATGCATCTTTCCTGGGTCTGATCTGCTGCTTCCCTGGGACCAAATGTCATTGTACTTTGTGTGTTCACTGTATAGGCCAGGGGTGAGGAACACTGGACCTTCCAGATGTTGCTGAACCATAACTCCCATCATCCCTGGCCATTGGCCATGCTTGATGTTATAGTTCAGCAACATCTGGAGGACCAAAGATTTCCCACACCTGGTACAGGAGGAATATAAAGTGGTTTGTTGTTTGTGTATGACAAAGATATGAGTAAAATGGAACTATCCTATACGAACCAGAGCTGAACTCTATGAACAGAAGTCACTGTATATATTTTTCTTGTTTAAGTTCCTTAAGATATAACTATTACTATCAATGAATGTCCTGGTGTTTCTACTCGGGAGGGGGGTGTAATGAAAAATGTTCATCTTAAAAACTTTTAACAAAATACTTTGTATATTTTAGAGCTTGATGCATAAACATTTTGTTCACTCAGACTCAAAGCAATACCATTGGTTTTTGTTTTGTTTATTTTTACATATTTCCACAAGGAGCTATGAAGAGACAAATCTAGGGTGCTGAGATGTTGTTACTCTGCAAATCATTCAATGTAGTCTTAATTATCCCTAATCTCTCATTTGTTTCCTTCCTGGTTTGTCATGGCATGTTTCCTGAGATGCACTATCATCTATCTATCTATAATCTATATGGTGCAAGGTTGCTGATCATATTTGAAGAGTGGGGTTTGCCGAACTGCTTCACCCAAGTCATTTTATCAGTTTATACCTCAGGTTGACATGAAGCTAAAATCTTGCTCTAATCCTTGGAGGGATATAATTACACAAATAAATGAATAACGCTTGAATCTTTTGCTTTATTGCTCTCTCACTCCTCCACGCAGACTTATATTGCAAACTCATGCGGAAGATGCAGGGGAACCATTCAGATATGCTTCCTGCTGTTTACAAACACCAGTCAGAAGTCTGACTAATAATCTATGCTGTGTTAGCTGGTTGTGATTTTCAAATGATTAAGAACAAGCTCCATTAGTTCCAGAGAGGTTTCAAGAGAGTTTTTAAAGTGGATTTTCCAGCTTCACAAATTCCCCATCCATCGCCCCACATTGAAAAAAACCCAAAGCCAAATTAACACAAAGTGTTCTTTGCTCCTTGCTTGCACCCTGTATCAGTGGCGGTTTCTACACAGGAGTCAGTCGTTCTTATTGACTATGCAGTAACAAATAAGACAATCCAGTGGCCCTTGCAGCAATGAAGATTGAAACTCAGCGACACACCAATACAAGGGCCATTGGATCACCCTGAAAGCTATCTTACCTATTCCTGCTGATTCATCAAATTAGTGCTGCCAAAATTGATACCTCTCAAACACTTCGCTTTTCCAGTTTTCACCAAGATTGCCTGTTAAGTACAACTCTGCTGGTGGGATATGCCTGTTCATTTTATGCTGCAGTCACTTGGGCCCACAGTGCAGTCTTTCAGTATTGACTGCCATCAGGGTAGCTCCAGACATCATGTGGTATTATTCTTTGGATATTTGTAGGCTCTGTGGTGGAGGGCATACATATACGTAAAGAAAGAGCAAGGTAACCACTCCTTCCCCTTCCTGACTAAAAACATCCCTGTATCATTGTGTCAAACACGGACCCTGACTTGTGCTTGTTCTATCCCAGGCTATTGTTCACCTCTGCCATCTGGCATATATTTATGCAACGCCCATGAGGGTCATCTTGCTCAGCCTTGGTTCTGCTATGTTCTTACAGTGATGAGTCACTGCCCATTCTCTCTCAGTTTAGAAAAATATCACAGGATAGGCCCCAACTCTTCCTTCAGGGCTTCCAGGTTCCTCATCTCTCCTCCTCCAACCCGTCTCCTCTCAGTTTACAGCAGCTGGCAAGCACAGCACAAGCTGGGAGAGGCTCCCAGGCTGACATCGACTAGGCCAAACAGACTGAGGCGCACAAGGTTTCCAGGCCGCTTATCTGAAAAATACCTTTGAATGAGATAAGCTTACTGATAAACTGGCCTTGCAGTGGATTTTCAAAAAGCATTCCTCAGCAAAGCAATAAAGTTGCTACTTCAGCCAGGTGACTCAGTGGCGTCAAAGCACAGCTAGAGCCAGGGCAGCAGTAGGGCTCTCCATTTGGCAGGATGGTCTGCTCAGCGTCCTCTGCCAAAGTATTTTGTCTATGTCTGCACAATCAAGTTGCGAGCCACTGAAGTATTCTTTTTCAGAGGATTTCTAGATTGTCTGTTCAGACTTGGTCCATGATGATGATTGGTCTATCTGAAAGGCCTGGCTAGCAGACAGAGCGGGGTTAGTGGGCAATACCATATGGATTAATAAATTAATAGCAGATTTCTCTGCCTCACTTACTGAATATCTTCTGCCTCCTGTACCCAGTAGAGCTTCTCTCTCATATTTATGTGTTGTGGTATGAGTGGGTGCGGAGAAAGGAAAATAGTGTGCATAGCACTCTTCCAAGAAAGCCAAAGGCAAACGGAACCTGTTTTCATTGGTCAAAATTTGGGCATTGAATGTGTTGACAGTGTATTGTACAGTGGTACCCCGGGTTACAGACGCTTCAGGTTACAGACTCCGCTAACCCAGAAATAGTACCTCAGGTTAAAAACTTTGCTTCAGGATGAGAACAGAAATCGCAAGGTGGCGGCATTGGTTCATTGCGGCAGCGGGAGGCCCCATTTGCTAAAATGGTACCTCAGGTTAAGAACAGTTTCAGGTTAAGAACGGACTTCCAGAACGAATCTTAACCAGAGGTGCCACTGTATGTACACGCTATACATTTTAAGCGTATCAAAAGCACAACACCATACCCCAAGAATGAAGACAGGAGTGCCTGGCGTGCTCTGGTCCATGGGGTCACGAAGAGTCGGACAGGACTAAACGACTAAACAACAACATACCCCAAGAATCTTGGCAAGTGTAATTAACCTTCACAGAGCTACAAACTACAATTCCTAGGGTGGTTGGGTTTTGGGGGGTGGGAGGGACACTTTAAATGTACAATTATAGGCAACCAATGTCAAATTCTTTGCAGGGCCCCCAACTTATTGTCATGATCCTCACCCATATTTGTTGCCAAGCCCCATTGTTCCAACCTCAATACACTAATCTACATCCTTAGACACAACCAAGTCTAGACATCTAATTTTTATCTAACTTTGAGAGGTGGGTCACCCAACCTTTCCTAAAGTGGGTTGCCCACTCAGTTCCTGAAAAAAATACCTTGAATAAGATTTGTTCACAGCCAAAGTCCTTGGCTTTTGCCAACATTAGTCCTTTTTTTAATACAAACTAATGGTTTTAGGAGCCATCTACCTTCTTGCCTTCTTTGGGTTGTGTATCTTGCAGTAAGTGGAAAACTGACCTCCACTCCAAATCTTCCACCCTCTCCATATCAACTATACTGTGTATTATTGTTGTATGTGTGAGAGAGAATTCATTAGTGCTTCTTTCTGTAAACTCCTGCATTGACCATTTCCCCACAATCATCACCACCTGGTGGCTGTGAACAGCAAAAACTCCCTAATGTCAAGTTTTCTCAGCTCAGTCTTCCAAAGAAAATTTGCTTCAGAAGATTGGCTGCACTATTTTATTGCAGCAAAACAAAACAAAAAAAGAGTCTTGTGAAACCTTAAAACTACTGTTGCCACAATATGCTAATGTTTTAAGGTGCCACAATACAATACATCAACTCGCCAGTTAGGTGTGCAGTGCAATGCTTATGTCTTTCTTTATAAGTCAGCCCTTCTGAGTTCTGTGGGACTTGCTTGGAATAAGTATGAGGGGGTTTAAAGTCCTATGACTTAATTAAACATATACTTTACGGTGCTATTTTTCTAGAAAAGAGGTGCCAGAACTCACCACGAATGCCTCCCTTGTTCTCTTATAATGGCAATGGTGTCCACCTGAGAGGTGCCAGAACTGAGTTCCAGCAAGTTCCAGCTGAAAAAAAGCACTGCTTGTGAATGACATTTAAGCACAAGAATTTATAAAATAACCAGTTTCCATTTTCCTGTATGAGGAAGAAAGAAATGTTCAGTACATAGAGCTTATGGTTCATTGCAGATGTCATCAGCAACACTATATGTGTAGGGTGCACATTTTAAATTCTGTAATGTTTCATAATGGCTATCATCATCAGTACATTAAATGCTATCAACACTTTTTGCTATCCGCAGGTTGTTGCCATCGTTATGGATATGTTTACAGATGTGGATATTTTTAAAGAAATTGTAGAAGCATCTACTAGGGGAATTTCAGTGTACCTTCTACTTGATGAATCTAACTTCAACCACTTTCTGAAGATGACAGAGAAACAAGGCTGTCAAGTTCAAAGGCTCAGGGTAAGTCATTTGTTCAGTGAGAGAGGAAAATATTTAGCACTCAAGTGCTCCAAAATAATAAATTGACATGTTAGTTGCAAAAACTGAATATCGCAGCAGTGTATGAACATTGAGCAATGTCTGTAAAGAAAAACTTTCTATGGTCTTGCAAATATCCTACTGCACCTTAAAAGCTGCCTTTGCAGTGATACTGACATGAGAGCGAGATTTTTCTAACAGCACAATCCTATCTGTGTTTACTTGGGAGTAAGTCACACTGTGTCCAATTTGAGCTTTACCCTCCAATAAGTGGGTTAAGGAGTGTGACCTGACACCCTTTCTCAAGTGCTCATTAGTAAATTCCATTGAAATTAATTGGATTTCTTTCTGAGCAAGCATGGGCAGGATAAAGGTGTGCAGCTGTAATTGCGTGCAATCTGATGGGCTTTATCTGGGACGTGCAGACAGTGCACCCCAGGATCTCCAGGGAGCGAGCTGCTTAAAACTGTTGATGCAAGGAAGTGAGCAATGATGGGAGCAAAAAGAAGGAGCCACGGGCCTTCATCTCCTCCTGGAAGTAGTGTGTGTTTAGCCCAGAGGGAAAGAGCAAATGAATGGGCAGGAGAAACAGCAATGAAGTGGAACTGGGGCTGCCGTCCTGAAGATAGCTTGCCCAATAATATTGAGTTGGAAGCATGGATAAAATTATGGAAGGAGGGTTTGAGATTCACTGGATGTATGGCTTTGAAAGAGAATGTATTAAAAATGGTGCATAGATGGCATCTAACGCCAACAAAATTGGCTAAAATGTATAGAAAGAGAGATAGAAGATGCTGGAAATGTAAAGAAGTAGATGGCGATTATTTTCATATGTGGTGGACCTGCGATAAGGTTAAACAATTTTGAGAATCAATTTATAATGAACTTAAAAAGATATTTAGGTACACCTTTCCCAAAAGACTGGACGCCTTTTTGCTAGGTCTATTGGGAAGGGAGATTAAAACAAAAGATCAGAATTTGTTTATGTATGCCACTGCCGCCGCAAGAACCCTACTGGCCCAAAAATGGAAAACAAAAGATATACCAACCATTTAGGAGTGGCAGGTGAAGATGACAGACTTTGGAACTTGCCAAATTGACAGGGAGGATCCGGGACCAAGAAGACCAGAGATACAAGAATAATTGGAGTAAATTTATTGAATACTTAAAGGAGAACTGTAAAAACTTAAAGACACTAGCAGGACTGGAATAATACCTTCAATGTAAAATAGTAGTGATATAAGAATAATATACACGATAAGAATGTGACAAATATACCAATTGCAGGGAGGGAGGGAAGTCAAGACTTGGCAGAGTCAAAGGGAATATATGGTAACAATAAGGATTGTTGAATATTTAAAGAAAATAATAAAAAAGATATCTTGCCCAAGAACCAAACAAAACCTGGAGTCAATAGCATGGGTGAGAATAGTGAGGAGAACTGGGGGTGGGTTTTTTTGCCCCCTTCCATCCATTTGCATCCATTCTTTTGAAGACACGCAGAAGGTATTTCCTTCCTTAAAGAACTTTGGCAACCAGAATCCAGTGCTGTGTGATTAGAACAGCAATGGCATGTTCTGTTGGCTCTCTGATTTTAAAAAAGAAATGTTTTATGATCTTCAAATGGAGGAATCCCTAGGATTCCAGCTTCAAGCTGCCACAAGGACATTTCACAAATACAGGTTTTATACTGGCAAAACGATAAACAGGCTGTATCTCCATGCCTGCAAATTTTAATTGGCTATTATGGTATCATTGCACTGATCTGACCCAACTGCCCTTAACTGAGGGTGTTCCTGTTGTTGTTTTTTTAATAGGTTCCTGTTTTCCCCCCACACACTGCTGTGTTGGTTTTACTCCTATAAGTCACTTGTGTTGCGCCTCTTGTAGCAAATTGTATGCAATTATAATGTATCAGGGTGACTTAGGCTGGCTTGTAGTTGACCAATTATTTGGGTGGAACCCATGAAGCAACACCAGCTACTGTGTGAAGCTCCTTAGCAGTGATGCAAACCTTAGTAAAATAATATTTTCATTTTTATTTTACGCTGCAAAAAATTACATACCACAGTTCCAGGGTGGTTTACAAAGAAAATAAAAATAGAAAATGGGGGGGGGGAATTATCATCCCTTTGCACTCTCTGAAAATCTATCTCAGAAGGTTAAGAAACTCTCTGGGACCGTGTCAGAGGTGCTATCTGGAGCTGCTGAGGAAGGGAGGAATTGACAAAAGTGGCAAGTCCTCTTCCATCAGCAAGATCCCTTCATTTGATCAAAAGACTATGGTAACCAAAAGAGCAAATATGTTTTGCCTATCAAAAATATGCTGTATAATGAGGTGATTAACCAGGAAAAGCATATATGAGGGTTGCTCATTGAAAATGTTGGTTTAGTATGTGGCAGTGAGAAATTCCATGTTAGAGAGCCCTAGGAGAGGAATTGAAAATAAGGCTGGTGATATAATGCCATTATATAAATCGATGATGTGACCACAGTTGGAATTATGAGTAATAGCTGACTAAATCAAGGTAGGAGTAAATGGATTTACTTATCTGCATTGATTTCAGTGTGTCTGCTCTGAGTACGGCTTTTCTGAATATCACTAACTATGGCCAGTTCTGGTCACCACACCGGAAAAAATGATATTGTAGAGCTGGGGAAATGGCAGCAATGGGCAACCAAAGGCTGAAGGGTGGGACTGACACTACTTCTTCACTTAGTAACTAACTAAACTGCGGAATTTGCTTCCGAAGATGGCTCTGAAAAGAAATTAAACAGATTCATGGAGGGTAAAGCTATCAGTCTGCCTACAAGTCATGATCATTCCAGAAATAGATGCAGTATGCTATTGCCTTCATGCCTCGATTATGGGATACCATAGACATCTGGTTGACCACTGTGGGAAATGGATTGCTAGCCTAGAGAAGCCTTTGATTCAGCAGGACTCTTCTAATATGCTTCTATTCATATGTGTAGTACCAGAGCGCTATGGGCTTATCTACACTTACCTTTTCTCCTACTCTTTCCAGGCAGAGATCTGTGTTTTAATGCTCAGTCTGTGAGCATTGTCTTTTTGTTGTTGTTGTTTCCCTAAGCTTTTTCTGCGGAAACCCACTCTCTAAAGCCGAATTGGAGCAAAAGTCAATTTGGGTTTTGCACAGATTGATGCTTCCTCTGATAGAACTTTAAAGAGTGTTTTTTGTTGTTTTTTTGTGAGGAAAACTCTGGGGCCAAAAAAAGGAGGCACTTTAAATTGCAGCCTGGAAAGAGCAGGGGAAAGATAAGCATTGATAAACCTTGTGATCAGCCTCAGCTATAGGTAGACACAGTGGTTTTTTTCTAAAAAAATGTTTAGGGGTATTCTCATTTTGACTCAAGAAAACCACCATTTTATAGTTCAAATCATGGGAAATAAATACAGTTAATGGACAAAAGTACAAAGATTCACAAAATGTTTAGGGATATGCGTACCCCCAGAAAAAAAGCGCTGGGTAGAACACTCTCACTTTCTCTCTCCCAATCTTTCTCTCTCACACACTATTTTATGGTCTCATCTTAACTAATATTGATATGAAAACCTCTTTCTGTGGTGTTGTCTGGATTAAAGAGATTAGGGTTCCTTCTACATGTAATAAGAACTGTGAAGTGTTTTAAATCCAATTACTAGATAGTTAATCCAATTAAACAAACTAGGTTTCCCCCCCTGCATTAACATGCTTTGGGTTTCTCTGCACAGGTAGTGTTTAAAGCTGCAACTCTCTGTACCCTTGCTTGGGGCTAAACCTCCTTTTGATTTTACTCAAAACTGGAAAATAGGCATAAGAACCAGTGGCGTAGCGTGGGTTTTCAGCACCCGGGGCAAGGCAAGTAATTTGCGCCCCCTAACCCGTGGATTTTAGCACTGATTTTAGCACTGCGAGTGCGAGCGCCCCCCCCAGATGTTGTGGCCGGCCCCCCCCCTGCACCCCCCACGCTACACCACTGATAAGACCGGCTTGTAAATTGTTCTGTATTTATTTATATTAATGCATTCCGACTTTTTCATACAATTTCTCTTCTTCTTCTTTTTCAGAACATGAGGGTGCGTACAGTAAAAGGACAAGATTATTACTCCAAGTCAGGGGCGAAATTCCATGGGAAAATGGAACAAAAATTTCTTCTCGTTGACTGTAAGAAAGTCATGTATGGTACCTATAGGTAAGAAGCTATGCACATGTTAGATATAATTTATATATCTTCAGTGTAATGTTGCTGTGTGTTCTTGTCCACAGGAGGAGCATGTGCTAGGGTGGTCTTGGGCCAAGAGACATGGTGTGCCATGGGGACAACTGAACCTTTCCAGTAAGGGGGTTAGCAATGGAATGAAGAGCCAGGTTCAGGGTTATTACAGGAGTGAAAGATTATTTACAGAGACCAGCAACTGTGAGACTAACTCTATAGAGGGGATGGAGATAGATGAGTCAAGCACAGGCAAAGGCAAACTTGGCCCTCCAGGTGTTTTGGGACTACAACTCCTATCATCCCTAGCTAATAGGACCAGTGGTCAGGGATGATGGGAGTTGTAGTCCCAAAACATCTGGAGGGCCGAATTTGCCTATGCCTGGTCAAGCATAATCAATGTCCTTGCCCTATGTAAGAAAGCTGGAGAGTACATATTGGGTTACAAATATGAAGAGATGAAGGTTGTGTGTGGCAGATAAGAGGAACTAACATTTGGCTGAGAGAAAACATAGGTAATCTAAAAGAAGGGAGAGAAGTCAGGTTTTTTTAAAAAAAGACGTTAAGGCACAGATTTTTACATAGCTCAAATGGAGCAAGAACAAAGGCTGTTTTCCTGGAGGAATCTATGAATCCCAAGAACAACCTCAATACAGGGGCTGATTTACCTTTGGAAATCTGTGGTTTTTTGTTTTGTGGGAAAAGAAGCCCTTCGGGTCCCGTTAGCCTAAGAACAAGAGGAATGTTGTCAGAGCAGACCAAAGGCTCTGATGTACATTGTTAGAAGGATGTACATTTTGTTGCCATGGGTACTTTGTGTGAAATGTGTGACTCATAAGGGTATCCATGTGCATAATTGGGACGGTGGTTTCTGAACTTACAGCTTCTACGCGGGAGCACCAGAAACAGAAGCATTTTTGATAGCACACTGAGAGGAGGAGACATTTGAAGCAACCCATTGGTATCTGTCACTTTAAGACTGAGCTCTTAAACCATAGAGTGCTTGGATGAAGTAGCCAGAGAAATTTATGTCTTCACACAAAGATTTCAGTCCCTCTTTTTCCTTTTGGCTCCAGCTTACAATATACTGTCAACATGGGTTCTTTGGGGGAGCATGCATGATTATTATGAGAACCAAATATCAGTAGTAGCAGCAGCATCTTCTAAGAAAACTCATAGTGGCTAACCTAGAACTTACCATAGTCTGTTACGCAGAAATGGATTAAGTCCACATCTGTTTTGCCTAAACAGCATTGTAGCATTGGGTGCTCCCAGCTCATTCACCAGACCTATTGGATAATCCCATGCCTGCCATCTGGAGTGATTTTGGAAGAAATAATAATAATAATAGTTGTTATTGAAAATAATGATATTCAGTGCCATCCCATGGTTTATAAGAATAGTTCATTCTCACTGAATCTAGTTTATTGTTGGAATAATTACTTAATGGACAGATTTTTTTAAATGTGTTACATCATTATATTCGCAATAGCCCTTGAGATCCATGATTCTTAATTTGCTTCTTCTTTTTGTTACATTCAGATGTGACAGAGGAGGTAAGGTAAATTACGTTTTCTTACCCTCAGATTCTTCTGCAGATTGTACTTTGGCATAAGATGGATTGTAAACAGATGACCATTTGGGGATGCAATGCATACTTTACTGAAGATTCCTGGCAAAGCAGTGATTTCTAGGGATGTGTTTTCCAAATAAGTTGTTTCTTGACCAATATATGTATTTGTTAAATTATGTGAATGCAAGGGATTGTCTTTGGTTAGACGCATCCCAGCAAAACATACAATATTTTAAAACATGATAGTCAGAACTGCTATGTTTGAGCAGCATGGCTATGTGAAAGTATTAGTAAGGTGGTGTTGATATCTGTAAATACCTATCCTACAGGCTCATGGCAAATAACTATGAAAATTAATGTAAAATACATTTGCATGGTTTCAGTTTATGGTACACCAGTAAGTATACAAATATAAAATACTATTCTGGTTAACTGTGTGATTTAAAATTACTTTTTTCCCATTCATGAAATTATTTACTCATGATGATATTGTGGCTAAAATTCATTTCAGCTTCTCTCAATTTATCAGGGATTGTGTCTGGCTACTGGGACTCTCCTTGAAGAAATTTTCCATTGAGTTATTTGGGGAGCTACTTCATAACCCTCAGTTCAGGGCTTTTGCCTCCTTTGTGGTGCTCCTTATCAAGCAGAAAGACACATGTCTGCAAGATAGAATGCTTACAATTGTCAACACATGTTACACACACACACACACACACACACACACCACTAGTGAAAAAGTGGTTCCATGTCTGCTATTAGCTAACACTGTGTGTGTGTGTGTGTGTGTGTGTGTCTGCCTTCCCCAACACGGTGACCTTCAAATGTTTTGGACTCCACCTCCTTTAAGCCTTAGCCAGAATGGCCAGTTGTCAGAGATGATAGCAGGTGCTACCTACCTCTACTTATAGCTTGTGTTGGTAAAAATAGGTATCATTCTCAATATGCTTCTCCAGCTTTGATCATCAGTGACTCATCACTAAAAAAAATCTGATTGATCATATGGTCCCTGTGCACATTTCTGAGGAGAACAGATTTCTTTTCTTATACAGAAACCTATCACTATGTAACTTGACCACTAGTTAACAAGTGTTTGCCTGTTCCTGGTTTGGATTACTAATTGTCATTTCTTCATCTTTCAGCTTTATGTGGTCCTTTGAGAAAGCAAACCTCAGCATGGTCCAGGTTATCACAGGACAACTGGTTGAATCTTTTGATGAAGAGTTTAGGACACTGTACGCCCGTTCTTCTGTTCCCAGCTCATTTGCTCCAGAATTAGTTAGAATTAATAGCCGCCGAGCACTCTGGGAGAACGAGGCCTACCAGCATTCACAGTCTTCCTTAGCTTCAGCTTCTAGCCTGCGTAACCCTTTTGGGAGGGCCAACAAAACCCACAACTTAGACACCAGCTTTCTGAAGAAACAAGGCAGATATGGAATAAATGACAATGACACATTTACTCCTAGAAACCACATCTTTCAGAAACCACAGTTTGCACCAGGTTTTCATATGCAGAGTAGAATCCAGCAGTACCAGCCCAACGAAGTAAATGAACATTGGAAAAGGCACAGCTATGCAGGGGAGAAACCAGAAAGGACTCCATACATGATGCTCAACAGGGCAATGAACCGGGCAAATAATCAACCGCATGGTTGGCAGGTGCCATCTGACAGTCTCAGCGTTGTATCTTCGTTGCACGGAAGTTACAAAAACCTCAATGTGCCTCAACAGAGTCTGGTTGACCGGCTTCCACAGCCGAAGCTGAATATTGCAGACAGGAACTCAATTGTACGGAGATCTTTCAATGGAACAGACAGTCACATCCGCTACCTACAGCAGAGAATGCCGACCCTTGAACGCACCACGAAATCTTTCCTGCGCAACTGGCGCATTGAATCGTATTTAAATGACCAGTCGGATTTTCCAGCAGACTCAAATGGCTCAGGGATAGGTGATAGGTGTGAGGGCTTTGATGCAGCGGAAAATATCAAGGCCCATGCCCTTTATGCTCACTCTCGCCTGCGCTCCTCCTTTGTCTTTAAGCCAACTTTGCCAGAGCAGAAAGAAGTAAACAGCTGTGCCAGTTCTTCTAATTCGACTATCATTGGTTCAGATGGCAGTGTGACGCCCAAAGGAACGCCCAACCATGTTCCCAAGCCAGAAGATGGAGCTGATGACATTGAGGCAGAACCAAGCACACACGTCCCACTGGAACCTGAGGTAGTCAAAAACAACAACCTGCCGATTTCAGAAGATAAGAAACCTAGTGTAACTCCGCCAGTTAGTCAAGAAAAGCCTACCTACCTATATTCAACTCTGAGCACAAGCAGACCAGTAGAATTTCTCAAGAATGAAAGCATACTGAAAAGGCGAAGTTTTCCAATGTTTGACAATTCAAAATCTGCTTTGGATCTTGGGAATAACAAAGAGGCAGCCAGCTACGTCTACAGCACACTAAATAGGAATAGACTTAGACAACCGGCTGCTCTAAAGCCACCGCTAGAGGAGGACCTACAAAACTCTAAAAGCTTGTACGATGTTGCCAATCATCTATCACCTGACAGTAATAAGCTGAAAAGTGAACAGGCCAGGTCTCCCACCACCCCGAAGTCCATTTCTGTGGCTGCACTAGCTGAATCGAGCAAAGATGACCCTGGGAAAGATGCCTCGCCGAAGAAAGAGAACAAGAATTCCCCAAGTTTCCTGAAGAAGGGGTCGCAGAAACTGAGGTCATTGCTGAACCTCACACCGGAGAAGAAAGAGAGCCTGTCCAAAAACAAAGCGCCTGCTTTTTACAGAATGTGTAGCAGTTCTGACACTCTGGTGTCAGAAGGTGAAGAAAATCAAAGACCCAAAGTGGCGGAAATAAGGGTGGAATGTTCTCCCAGGAAAAAAAGAAACTCCTCATCTAATTCACAGGGGAGCCTACATAAGAGTAAAGAGGACATTACTGTCAGCCCAAAGTCCCCCAAATCTCCAAAATCTCCCAAGTCCCCCAAGTCTCCAAAATCACCAAAGTCTCAAAAATCTCTGAAACCTCCATCAGAAGAAAACATGAAAAGGGGGCCTGTTGTGAAACCAATAGAAAATATGCTGTTGGAAGTACCTCCAGGCGACCCATCTGCTCCCAGATTTAACACTGAGCAAATTCAGTACCAGGATGTCAGGGAGCTGCGTGCAAATGCAGGCCGGGATCGGGTCCCCCCACCAACTGCTGCCGCTATTCCTCTGCACAGGGTCAGTGCAGCGGCGCCTCGTCTATCGAGCACCAAGCCAAACGATGAGCTAATAAGACCTCGCTTGAGCGACAGGCGTATTTACAGTCGCTTTGAGCCGTTTTGCAAAGTGGAAAGCTCTGCTCAGCCAACAGGAACTCAGCAAGCAAGCAGCACCCAGAAAAACAGCGCTCACTATCCGGAGACAAATAGCAAGGCCTCTAGGAATAATTATGGAAGGAGCAACCAGGTGGCGAATTACAACCCTGGTGTCTACCACCCATTGCACCCCAATGAAAACAAGTTGCGAGGAATTATGCAAAAGTTTGGGAATTTTATATACAAAAATAAATGAAACCTACTTATGGAATTTTTTTATTTTATTTTTTAAAATATACCTGCTGTAAATACTTAAGTACAGACTGCTGGACAGCTTTTGTAAAGCTTAACTCAAATCCCTACAGGAGTTAGAACACTGCTATACATGTATATAACTTTGGTTCAGCATAGGTTTTGGAATCCGACCTGTTGATACGTATTTGCGTTTTTATGTCGTTTGAGGTGTAACTCACCTCAGTGCTGGCAATAAACATTCTTTTATAAACCCTGCCAAAACATGCAAGGTGGAGCCACTCTTTCCATAAAATTGCTTTCATGCACAATAAATGCTCATTGGTTACTAATCTTTTTACATGCAGTCTGCATGTCTACTGTCAAGGTTGTGCTTCTGTTGGGGGAATATACTGTTTTCTGAATGCTGGACTTGCTATATTTTTGTAAACGAAAGAAGCAATGCTGCTCCCCTCCAATACAATATCTACTAGGCTTCCATTTTCAGCAGCAGCTACATGTATATTGTCACATTCAGTGATAGTAATATGCATACGCTAAAGTAACACGTGACTGGAGAAGACTGTAATTGCAGTTGTCCATAACACAAGTGCAGTATTTGAGTTGGCGCTATTAATCTGAAAGCCTATCCTTTAAAAAGTGCAAAAGAATGAGCTTAAGTTAACATTGACCAATCTAGCGCAGTGTTTCCCAACCGGTGTTCCGCGGCACACTAGTGTGCCGCGAGATGTTGCCTGGTGTGCCGCGAGATGTTGCCTGGAGGGAGGCGGGCGAGTCCAAAAAAGGTTGGGAAACACTGGTTTCTTTTTCAAAAAGGAAACGTGGGTTAAAGCGCCGCCGCCGCCTCCCACTCACTTTCCTGCTCTGGCTTCCCTAACAGTTTTCCGAGTTGCGTCACTGGATCCAGCCCCCTTTTCCACATGTGACACGGGGCTGGAGGGAGGGAAAGAGGGCTTTACGTCGCGCACAAAGGCAGCCTCCTAGAAGCGCTCTGGGCCGGCGCCGTTTCGCCGAAGGCGCCGGAGGACCCCCACCCTCAGCTCCTTCAGAAAGGAAGCCCCGCCCCTCGGCTCCCTACGCCGCCAGGCAGCTCAGCTGACTGATGAGGACGTTCTGCGGCGGCGGCCGCCGCACAACCACCGCAGTTGCTGGCAGCGTCCGCAGCGCAATAAGTAACAGCGCCTGGTGCTGCCAACTCTTTCTCTCTCTCTCCCGCCCCGCCCCCAAGCTCTGGCGCGCCCCGCGTCAACATCACCGCGCGCAGCTTCCCGAGCTCGAGGCCAGCCGCTGCACGCACGCGCCGGCTCGTCATCGGCTCCGGTTGTTGCCTTTCTCCGCCGAGGTCGGTGGACCCCGAGCCTAGGCTTCCTTCCCGCACCCCGCTTTCCGAAGACCGCACACCAGTTGGGCCAGTACATATTCCCCTCCCGTGACTGGAGCGGAATAGCCCTTTCTCTTCTTCCCCAACCCTTGTCGTTGGAGGAGTCCCTCAGTCCCTCGCTTTGCTGCCTCCTCCCCCCCCCACCCCCAAAGCTTGGAGGTTCCCCGGCAAGGGGGAGGGCAAAAAATTGAAAGTTACACTTTCGTGCGTCCCTCCCGGCGTGACGCTGCGCGCTGACGTCACAGGGCTGTAATGGTGGTGTGCCTCGAGATTTTTTTCATCAAACAAGTGTGCCTTTGCCCAAAAAAGGTTGGGAAACACTGATCTAGCGGATAGGTAAATCTGGATCAAAATCAATAGGATGTAAATATGTTTTATTGGCACAGTTGAAATATCACAAACCTGATTTTTCCAACAGTGCCTTGAAGCTCGCAAAAATGTGGTAAACTCACCATTCCTCCTTTCTCACGCATGAGCCCCCCCCCCCCAGTTTTCTCTAACCATATTTTGTCATCGCATCCCAATTGGCAACTATTGTTTTATTGTTATGTAAGCCGGTATGAGGAGGTTTTGTTTTTTTTAAAGCAAACAAACAATCAAGCATTATAGTTTTTATGAAATATATAAAAACAAACTCCCTGTTACTGTTTGATCCCACCCAATTCAAACCATGGTTTCAAAATACAGTTTAAAGGCAAGTTATTAGCTATGGCTGGCCAGTTGAGACATCGCATCAAAATGTGGCTAAGGGAAAGAAACAGGAAATTAGAGAGTCAGAGAGTATAAACATCCATAACACAGGAGAGGGAAACCTCAGCTCTAAGGGCCAAATGCAGGCTTCTCTGTCTGGCCTTCGGATCTTTTTCTAAGCCATACGCCTCACCTTCAAAGACAATTGCAACCACTATCTATTCAGTGCAGGAGATGCTCACATACATTATTAGCGTGTTCGGATCTTGCTGCAGGCAACAGTCTCCGGATCAGAAAACCCACATATCACTGTCTTTTTTAATATAGTAGCTGCTTCAAAATGATGATTGTGCTCATTTATGGAAGCAGAGAACAACTGTATTTCAGTCTGCCCATTCTCATACTTGCTTTATTATATTCTTATGTTTAACAAACCATTAAGTTATTACTGTTTGCTGCATATATCTAAAGATGAGGGGAGGCAGACTTTAGAGAACGAGAATTTATAGGCAAGAGCTTGCTGGCCTTAAAAAGCCCCAACTTGCTTTGTCATAAAATTGTATTTTATGGCCTTCAGCATTTTTTTTTAAAGAGATGTGAAAAATAAGACTATTAACATCTTGCATAACTATGCAGCAATAAATTTTAAAGCCATGCCATTAAAGTGAAGTTTTGTTCATAGTTCAGTGATATAAAGGTTTTATTAGCAATCATTTGGTTTACATCCTTAATCCACTTGTGATTTTTCAGCTCCAAAAAGGAGGGAAGGGGAGCCTTACATTATGAATGAGACATCAAAGTATTTTTGTGTTTTATAAAGTGAACTTTATTTCTGAGTTTTGTTAGATAATAGAAAGCCGACATCCATAATTCTCCTAGACATGACAATTTAGATTGCATAGTGACAAAGAGGCTTAGAAGCTTTTTATTAAATGATTTTAGTACTTTCTAGCTTTGACTGTTAGTGTGTGATGAACATGTGCTAGCATCCCATAATGTGCACACTAATTAGTGGCTCTTCCTTGTTTCCCTCCACGGGGTAAGCAATAATGGTCATGCTCACACACAGTGCTAAACCATAGTTTGGCATAACCATAGTTTAGCATTAAAATATGAGGGACTTGGGATTGCATACTCCTTCCTGCTCTCCTCCCACTGTGTGACTGGGAGGATTTTGGTACAGCAAAAATTTGCCTGATTACACTAGACACCCTGTATGTTACACAAAAATATAACTCAGGTATAGAAAAGTATAGGGGGGTTGGACCAGATGCCCCCCCCCGGGTACCTTCCAACTTTATGATTCTATGAACATGGAGGATGCATTGGAATGACAACAATGTTGTTGGGATGTCTGTAAAATGAGGGGAGACAAAAGATGGCATTTGTATTTCATTTCATCTTTATTTCAGCCCATATATATATAGATATATATAATCAGGGGCATTTCTAAGCAGTGTGCAGGAGACCCGGTATAGTTTAGCAAAACTGAAAATGAGTTAAAACTATAAAACCAGAATTTGATTAAAAGTCTGCTGGAATAAAATAGAATTCAGTTAAACACAAGACGTTCAACAGGAATGAGTGCCACAAAATTGGGTCACCAGTACTGGATGCACAACTCCTTGTGACTGCATGCCATGAATCTGAGCCCTAAGGGAATTTTATTTTCTGTATAAGAAAAAAGGGACATGTTTCTCCTAAGATGTCACTTGCCACCTCTATTTTTTAAAAAACATTTTTCTCACCCCCCCATTTTTTTAAAAAAACTGTTACCCAATTAATTAAGACCACTTTTTAATTACTAAAAAGGCTTTCAATTAATTTGTCTGATGAATAGACTAGATGCAGCCCTATCATTGCAGTTCCTGTTTTTGCTGGTCATTTGGTGTATCCAGTAATTGACAGGCCACCCTGGTGAGCTGCATGAGGTTTGGTGGGTGACTCACAAACTGTTCTGTTGCCGTTCTGAAGGAGTTTGTTCCATCCTTTAAATGTCACATTTTAAAAGAACCAATCAAAACAACTCTCCATAATTAAGCATCTCGATTGAAATGTGTAATCAAAACATTCCAAAGGCCAATCATAATGAAAATAAATGAGCGAAATTATTCCAGGTGGTTAAAAGCAGGTTTGCAAGCTAAGTCTAATTGCTTAGACCCAGGAGCAGTCCATTTTATTATTCATTTGAAAGAGCTATCCCTGAAGTAGTAGATCAAAATAAAAGGTTACATTGCTATCAACTTATTCAATGTCTTCCACATCTAAATCCCAAGTGTTCAGGAAAGGTTTTCTGCATATCACTAACCCCAGACGTTTGCAGTGTGTTGCCCAGTCCAGATGGGAGCTTCATGATTGGGCAAGAGTTCAAATTTGTGATTTGTACTGTACCGTTAATTGAGTTAAAAATTCATTCCTTCAACAAACCTTATAGGTTTTGTACGCGCCATGTATTTGAAGCACACCACCAAAGAATCATGGGAACTGTAGTTTGCCCCCACTGTTCCTGCCAGCCTTAACAAACTACAATTCCCAGGATTCTTGAGGGGGTACTTTAAATGTATGGTGTGTATATAGCCAAAGAGATGGCATGGATATTGTAAAGAAAATGGAAAGTTAGTTATGCTTGGATCACATCCATTTGTTTATTCATTATTCAGTTGTAAGCTGGTTTTCAAGGCAAAAACACTTCACAAAGCAGCCTACATAAAATCATAAAAGCATACAGCACAATTTTAATGAAATTCAAACAAAGCAAAATCTAATATTCCAACTAAACAATCTCTCAAATTGATCATGCTGTGTAAATCAATTGGACTTCAGTTAGTTGTGACTAATTTTCCCTTTGATATGTTTCAATAGGACTTAAGTGCTAATGGCTTTTTCTGAACTAGGACCAATAAGCTCTAGATTATAGAGATGTACAATTGAAAAGAAAATCATTCCATTTGCCGTTTCGCTTCTGACAGCCTGACGTTTAATTTTCAGTGTTGTCATATTCAATTCATTTCTCCCTTTTAACCCTCTAATTTGCCGTTTTTCTTCAGTGATCACAGTGGAGACTCTGCTTATAGCTCTGCTGTTTAGAGCTCTGGAGTTTTTCTTCCACATGGCGTTATGATTTTCCCCAGTGCTGGTTTGCCCATTCATTGTTTGTTTCTAATATACATGGATTGCAAATGAATAGGAGAAGGTGCATTCACTTCAATTTTTTAAAAAAGAAATAAACGCACACACACTCTGCTAGGTTCTTTGAGCACA